GACGAAAGTGAAATGAGACAGGATGGAAAAACCTCCTGATCACGTATGTAAACGCCACAGGAAGTGAGGTCAGAACTTGAGTTTAAAGGGAGCTGAGGTTAAGGACCTCCCCAGCGTCACCGAGACGGACCAATCAGAGCAAAGCACTGCTCTTACATTCAAAGGATTCACGAAGCTTCAAACATGCAGGAGTGACAGAAACCGTCTGTGCTCCACCCGGGTGAGCGAGGGCAGGTGTGGCGAGCAGGTGGAACCAGTGGAACCAGTGCGAGGAGGAATGCTGGGAGAGGCTGGATCGGTGCTCGGGGGACATTCCAGCCTGATGACTGAGGAGGGTGAAACCAGCCTTCATCATCACTGACGCAGGAAAGCATCAAAGGGCAGATCAACTATGAAGGTTATGTGTAGCTGTGTGTTGGCCCCGCCCCCTCAGTGTCAGTCACAGGTTTTTCCATCCTGTCCAGTAAAAACGGGTAAAAAAGTAAAGGTCATGTTCCAGCAGCTTCAGTTTAACCTCCCGGCTGGTTCTGCTGGTTCTGCTGGTTTTACTGGGTCTTGGTGGTCTTGGCGTCGGGGCGCAGGTACGTCTGGTAGAAGAAGTTGGAGAAGAGCAGCAGGTAGCTGACGTACATGATGGCGGCCCACACGATGTTGTCCAGGCTGGAGGGGCAGTCTCCCTGCTGCATCCAGCGGTACACCAACGCGCTCACCGCCACGCCCATCGCCATCTGAGCGATCTGAGCGCTGGTGATCAGCACGGCAAAAGGGCGGGGCACGCGCAGCCCGGCGGCACGGGCCGCATAGTAGCTGTACATGAGCGCGTGCACGGTGTAGTTCATGGTCATGAACCAGCCGCCGCCGGCCACCATGTCTTTGTAGGAGTACCAGGAGTAGAGCAGCACGGTGATGTGGTGGTACCAGTGCAGGAAGAGCAGCTTCTGCTTCCTCAGCACGATGAACGCCGTGTCGCCTGCAAACACAGCGCACGTTAGTCACACGTTTCATCTCGGCGCCGCTACGAGGCTGTAAAAGCTAACGCACTGACCGAGCTCGGGAGCCTTGCTGAGGACGAAGGCGTACGCCCAGAACTTGCTGACCGGGCCGTTGTAGAAGCTCCGGTCACAGATGGACTGTCTGAAGCCGCTGGAGCTCAGGACGTGGAACATGTAGGGAGCGGTCCGGATCGCCCCGACGATGCTGCGGAGAACAAACCCATCAGAGCACAGAAACATGGACGAGCAGAAACACGCCACTCAGAGCAGCACTACCCTGAAGACGCCCTCAGTCTGTTTTGGTTCTTACTATCTTGTAGGGACCAAAATCATTTTTCACAAACTGGTTTTAGGGTCATAATTGGGTCGTGGTCGTGGTTATGGTCGTGGTCATGGTCGTGGTCGTGGTCGTGTGAGCTTGTAGCTGAAGCATTATGTCAACACTAACCCCGGACAGCAAACTGTTGTGTGTCTGTGAGGATGTGAGGCTCCTTTTAAAGCTTCATTCTGCTGAGTTTCATCTTTGTGTTTACAGCAGCTTCATGTTTCCTGACGGCCGCCATGACTCCGCCCACATCTCTATTGTTCTCACACAGGTGAGAAAACAAACACACCTGAGCCGCAGGTTACCACGGGGACAGCGTGCTGGCTGTGCACAAGTGTTGATTCAGCAAGAATGCGAAGCATGCCCGTGGTTACCATGGAGACTG